GGGAGCCGAGCCTTGGGGAGCCGTGTGCGCGGCTCTTCCCGCGCTGCTAAAGCAGTTTCCCTTGTAAACGGGCTTTGTACCTCGCCATAGGAAGGTGGCTAAAATGCATGTTCCCAGGGAGGTAATGGAGAGGGTGACAGTAAACGGCCAAGGACCACCCTGCAGAGGAGGGAGGGGCTTGTGGCTGGTTTTGCACCCCTGTTAACTGTGGTGCTAATATTACACCACTGCAGTATAATATTGCGCTTTTATATAGTGTACATATAACCCTGTGTATACTATTGTACAACATATAGTATTGCTACAGTATAATATTGTGCTATTACCCACCTACTGTAGCCACTGATGCTCCTGAACCAAAGTGCCACCCTCACGCAGCTGAGCTCCAAGTGTTAAGGGAAGCCCTGTTCTTGGTGGTGTTTGTGTTCCAGTAGAACGTTGTCCCTTTGGGGCCTTATCCTCTCTGTGTGCTGTAGGGCAACACAAGTGAGATGCATATACCTTGCAGGGCTGAAGGGAGATGAATGTAATGGCTGATGGTTTCAGTGTCTGTCGTCTTTTTGTCTTGTTCCTTTGTTGCTGAACTGTCGCTTCAGGAGAATGATCAGTACAACTTTCATTTTGATTTGGATTTGATGTCTTGGGACTCAGACTTTTGGAATATCACAAGCCATGCCTACTCAGGTAAATTAGCTGCCCTGTTTTGCAGGTCTGACTTTTCCCTTCTGCCCTCCCAGAGCTTGCAGTTGTAGCTTCAGGGACAGTGATAACTTATCTGAAGCTGTTGGATAGGCTACAATATTTGATTCTCTGGTGACAGATCATGCTGTCTTTTGTAGGATGAGTGCAATTGATGAAGGCTGTTCTACAAGCCAAGCTATTTTAGTATCTTTAATCTTGCTGTGTTTTCTGCTGTGCCTTGTTTCAGGAATGAATTTGCGATGTAGGGTTGTGTAGTTTTCGATCATCTCCCACTGCTAGATGAAACATCTCCATGTCCATCTTTTGCAGATGAGAGTGTGAAGACAGAGCCTTTATCACCAGCTGCTTCGACGTGTTCGGTCCCTTCTCCATCGTCTGTGGACTCTCCAGTGCAGAACGTGCCTGTTTGCAGAAACCTCCCCGTAACACAGAGAGCAGCACTTGTGCAGGGCTGGTTGTGACCGACAAAACACCCCACTGCTTTACCTCTTTGATCAGCCACATAGCATAAGAGGCAACAGCTTTATTTTGACCTCTGCAAAACCACCTTCCCTTCAGTGGTATTTTGCTTCCTCTCCAGCTGTGACCCATTCTAAAAAGACAGTCTGCTGGATCTGTTTCCTTGGCTATGTGTATGTCTGGTTGCAAACAAGGCGTCTTCTGGAGGTTTCCGAGTCCAGCAGCTGTTACCTTCTGCCCCTAGCCTGACAATAGGTCAAAGTGCTTTTTCAGTGGTACTGCTTAGTGTTGATCAGCATAAAACAGCAACGTTCTACTCTTAGCCTGCTTCCCAAAGCAGCAGCATGGATGTGATGAGAGGGAGTTGCACCCTGCATTGCTCTCTTCTGGTTTTGAAGCATTTATACCCTGCTTTCTCTTCGCAGGACGATGTGGACTTCAGCTGTAGCTCCCAGATGTCTCCCTTCTCCCTTTACAGCAAGAGTTCCGGAAGCCCCTCGTCCCCTGAGGGAGAAGGAGGGAAGAAGCCTGCTGGCTTCCCATCTCGATCTGGTATAGGCAATCAAATCATTTCAATTCTGCAGCTGGTGTGCTTGTTTTGTTGCATGGACGGGGCTTTAACTAACAGACACTAGAAAATCCTGTAATTCCTGACTTGGGGAAAAGTCCCCATCCTATTTGGATGTGGAGCTTCTGGAGAGAGTCCAGCGCAGGGCCACAAGGATGATCAGGGGCCTGGAACATCTGTCCTATGAGGAGAGGCTGAGGGAGCTGGGCCTGTTCAGCCTGGAGAAGAGAAGGCTGAGAGGGGATCTAATCAGTGTCTATAAGGACCTCAAGGGAGGGAGTGCAGAGGACGGGGATGGTCTCTTTTCAGTGGTGGCCACTGATAGGACTAGGGGAAATGGCCGGAAACTGAAACACCAAAAATTCCATAGGAACTTAAGGAAAAATTTCTTAACAGTGAGGGTGACAGAGCACTGGAACAGGCTGCCCAGAGAGGGTGTGGAGTCTCCTTCTCTGGAGATCTTCCAAACCCACTTGGACGCAGTCCTGTGCCACGTGCTCTAGGTGTCCCTGCGTGTGCAGGGGTTGGACTAGGTGACCTCTAGAGGTCCCTTCCACCCCTAAGCATTCTATGATTCTATTTGAGATATGTTTGTTGTTGCAAATGCTGTAGGTGGGTAAAGAAACGTATGAGGAGCTGCACTGTTACTGCTTGAATTTTTTACTTTATATCTTCTGGTTGAACTGAGATCTCCTTTCCTTTCCTAGCAAGTACTTGTGGGAGGACCCTGAAGAGGTGCGCTCAGACAACAACCAGGCCTTCAATACAACCCAAACCCCTCTTGCCTGCTGTACCTGAGAGTCAGGCTAACATTGGTATCCCAGCTAAAACCATCATTATTCAGACTCTTCCAACACTTGTGCAACTACCAAAGCATCAGCCAGTTGTTAACATCCAGCCAGCCCCTCCTAAAGGTAGGTGGAAAATCCTGTTTCCGTGTGGAACGGTTACTGCACTGGAGTTCACTTTGGCAGGTGAAACAGGAGGGAATGGGAGCAGAGAGAGATGTTACAAGCTTTGCTGCAGAGGCTTCATACTGAAAAGAAGTTTGTTCCCACATGGAAGTTGTTGCCACAGGATGCTGGGAACATAAGTTTGTGCTGTTGCTTTTCATCTCTGTGAAAAATATTAGACCAGGTGTTAACAAATTCTGCCAGTAGTTATGTGGTTGATGTTTAGAGTCTGGGCACGTGTTGGAGTGGTTGCTCACAGTATAAGCTGGTGCTAAGAGGCAGCAAGTGATTTTCCTGGGCATTGGTAATTCTTCTTTCCTCTTTTAAGCTGTTACTTTGTAACAAGCTGCCCAAGTAGGCTTCATTTCTGAATCCTAAGCACTATTTTAGTTTTGCAAAGGCAATAGGGAAGTTACCTGCTTTGCTGAAATTGTCAGATGCAGTTGCTTCTTTTGACCAGCTGATGGCTGCAGATTCTTGCAGTTGATCCTAGATGTAGTGAGGAGTGGAGGGAAAAGGAGAGAAATACTTAAGTGCCTATATGTAGGAATGTGTTTAGTTGTGAAAAATTTGTCTTCATTATTAATTGCTCTTCTCTTGAGAGTTAAGTCGAAACTGGCATTTCCTGTGACAGGCTTAGGATTGTTAGACTGCTTAAAACACAGTTCAACACAGAGTGACCAGATTCTTAGTCCGAATGATATTTCAGCTGATAAAATAGTGTCTGGAAAAGGGAATATTGGGGAATAGAGATTTTCTGTATATAATTCTAATATTAAGAAGATCAGCTTCTTCCTTTGCCTGTAGAAATGTTAGGAAAGTAACTTCCTCCTATTCTCTAGGAATACTGTTTCCTAGGAAAGCATCATCTTAAAGTATTATGTGCCTTTTGCATTGTTAAAAATATGCCGAAAGCACCTCAAATTCATTTTTCAGGTTCTTAAATAGGGCAGTGGGTTTTTCTTTTTGTTTTTTTTTTATTATTATTATTTTTAATTTTTTACTTTATAATGTCTTCAAGCCCCCTTTATGCAAGAAGAAGCCTAGTCTTACCCCTTATGCATAGAATATCTTGGAGCTAGGTAAATTTCTGCTATTCACCTTCAAACGGTGGGGTAAGTGCTGTAATATGTAGTTAGGAATTTTGGAGTGCTAAGTTAGAACACATTGTTTCTAAAAGCTAGCCAGGTCATCCTGTTACAGAGAATTAAATGGATGTTCCTATGTTTTCATGCAACAAAGTGTTATGATGAGGTTTGCATCTGCTTGAATTAAATTAATTTTTGGACTGAAATTGTTTGGCTGTAACATTAATTCCCTTTCAAAGTTGTTTTGAAATTATCTACTTTCTCCTATTTCAGGTCTGTCAGATTGTACATCAAATTTCTTATGCAAGACAACACTTTTTCCAAAAACTGGTCTTAATTTAATGTGAATAGAGGATATAATGGATGTTTTGAAAATGTAACTCACAATGTTTCCCTCAAGTTCTGAGGCTTCATTTCATCATTGCTTGCTATGATGTTTCTGAATTGATTTCTACATGAAGATTTTCACTGAATATGACAATAAAATAGGGATGGGTAAGAGGGAGGAGGCTGGAGATGGGTGTGGTTGTTAATGGTGATTAATAGTCAGCACTTTCTCTAGTTTGGACTGAAGGAAGGAAGTCCGAAAGTGTCTAACAAAAATATTTTGAGGTATTCTGATTGTGGGTCTTTATCCTCTGCAATTCACATTTGCAGAGCCACAAACTACGTTCTCAAGCAGCCATAGGCACTTAAATGTTCTGTGCATCTCTTCAAACTTTGTCCTTTCATGGGCTCAGGAACTGGCCTGGGCTCTGTGTTTGTGAGCGAGCGCCTCATTCATCCTGGGATTACCTGAATTACCTGAAGCTGAAGCAAGTAGTGAGGCACTGGGAGTACTGTCTTTATGCAATAGCCAGGTGCCTGTTGCCACATCTGCCAGACAAGCACGGTTTCCATTAGCTTAGGGTAATGTGGACCTTTAGAGTCCTGCAGGTTGGACGTTTAGAATCCTGCAAGTGAAGGCACTGTTTTTTCCGAACAGCGAAGGAAAATAATAATAACTGATGTCTAAGGCTGATTTTTTTTATGGGCTTTACAGCATGTTTCATAAATGTGAATAAGT